ATATATATATATATATATATATATATATATATATATATATATATATAGTATATGTATGTAGATCAGCAGAAGCAAAATAGAAAAAAATCACCCTCAATCTTTCATGAAAAGGAAGTTTTAATATTGTAAATATCACTGTCATTTAGAACACATATTTGCAAAAATAAAACATCAGACATACAAAGCATCGTGAGAAAATAAATCATATTTACAGTTTATGTTTTAAAGACTCAAACCAGTTGCCTTCTAACTGAACCATGTGTGTAAAAGGCTGTTCTGGTGTGGTATTTTACCAGAAACAGGTTTGGTTTGTTGATTTATAGAAAACGTGAGTGTTTGATCACAGGCCCCTCTGAAACCTTACAGTGCTCGTTGCATTCTGCATCGCCTGAAGTTTTTCAAAATAAAATATGTGTACGATCTAACTTTGGTTGAGTGTCACTCTTTTACAATTATCTTTTAAGACAAATTCATCTATAAGATATTAGTAGTTTTGAACTCCCCGTCTGAACAGCATTAGTCTACCTTGACATACTCCTCCATTAAAACTTCAAACCGGCTCTGCTGCCTTTTTACGGTTTGATTATTTAAACTAGACAAAGTAAAGTAACAGTTATTTTGGAGAAAAAAATTGATAAACTAACAATAAAATAATGCATAAACAGCACCTAAAATAAAAATACACCCTTTTTTATCTACTGTATAATTATCCATATGTAAATGTACATAAAAGACAAGTTTTACTCTTTGTTATGAACCAGAAATATTAACTGATGAGATGTGGTAACACTTTACAGTACAAGTGCCAATCAAATACCTGAGGTCTCTCTCAGAAATACTTTATAAACAAACTGCACGTCTGGTCAAACTTAAACACAAATTACAACTTATGTAACAAAAATCCAGCAAACTTCAATGAAGCTGTAACTGCTTCTATGAATAAAACCTGATCATGTGTTAGTTTATTATTTAATCGTCACAAATGGGACTCTAAGAGATTTCGATTCGTACCCTGGTTGTGAAGCGTTACCATCATGGCCTCTCGTGAAAACCTTTTCTGTTCAGTTTACCACTAAAATATTCTCATTCCTTAGATGCCCTGAAGTAATCCAGCCCAACTCTGGGCTGAAAATACACCCAAACAGTCGTGATGAACTGAGTTTGCATCATTATTTTTAAATCTTATACATGAGCAGACTCAGTTAATCAAACGCAGATCGATCTGAGGATGCAATTTTAGCTGAATTTACTCCAGCAGCTGAACTCTAAAACACACAAAGACAAACTCATCTGGGCCAGCTGGTTCTAATGTCCTTATTTCTTGCGTAGTGCAATGTAAATAATGGCAGAGAAGAAGGTGAGACCGAAGGCGATCCATGCCAGGATGTAGCTGTGGCCATATTTCCCATTAGCCTCATCGATATGGAAGCGGTCTGTGTAGATGGAAGCTGCGATCATGATGAACAGGCCTGGTGATGAAACAAAATCAGCTGTGATGAAGCAAAACGCCAGAAGGCATGCAGAGGCATACGCGCCGTTTCCACGTAATACTCACATGCGAGGAACTGAAGGGCTCCGGCGGCAATGAACTTCTGTCCCTTGGGCTGGGTGAAGAGCTGAGCCATGAACACAAAGAGTGAAATGAAGGAGAATATACACGCCAGCACAGAGGTGGCCTGCACTGCCTGGAGGTAATCTGCAGGGGGAGCCAGAGAGCAACATGGTGAAGGAAAACCTGCATGTGCTGAACATTTACATTTATTATTCTGATATTCTGTCAGCAAGTTTTTTACTGGATACGACTCAGAAGTGAGGAAAAACAAGATCCTGGCAAAAAGTTTCCGGAGCAAAGTTTCTTTAAACGCACAGAGAGAGAGAGAGTTCTGAAGTTGAGTTCTGTGAAAAGGTTATGAACAACTAGTATCTTACCTGTTGTAGATAGCTCTGTGAACGACTTAAGTTGGAGAGAAATTGTTTATTTCTGACTAAATTGACGAGTTAATGATTAGCCAGAGCAGTTCAAGGGGCAACGTGCACTGCCTTAAAACAACTCCAAATAAAGAGATTCATAGCAGTTTGTGCAAACACGACCTTTACATCACTGTCATATCTGCACTACACAGTTATTTATCTATTTTGTTGTTATTTACAAGCACAAACAGTCCCAGTACAGCTTGGAGCACACCCTGCAAAAATGTTGTAACGTTTCCGCCTGAATAAACCTAAAATGTTTAGAGTTGCATCCACGTGAACATTAACATCTGAGACTAAAGTTGTTTTAAAGACGACATCAATCATTTTTAATCTTAGTTCCACTCAAACTCATCCGGTCAGAATTAGACTTGATTTCTCCAAACTGAGGTTGTTCAAAGAGCCATCTACAACAGGTAAGATACTATTAGTTCACAACCTTTCCACCGAGCTTCACTTTAAAATATCTAATATATATTTAAACAGAGCTGATGTGCCAGATGGCAGGACTCATAACTTTATGTTATAAAACAGTTTTAACACACTTGATTGATTTTTATGATAAAAAAATGCATTTTCTGCATAAAACTAAGACTCAGTGTTGTAAAAACTTCTTCCCAGGATAAAACCCCCCAAATATATATA